CGACACTCAAATCTACTTTTACTGCATCATCTAAGCAATAAATAAGAACAAATCCCTCGTTTTGTGAGGTGAAACATTCAATTCGAAAATGAGCATATATCTGTTTTAAATTGCCACGAGTTCAAATCGATTTTTGTGGGTACAAAATGCAGACATAATTGTCATGCTAACAGTAAGCATGTCAGTGAACTATACTGAACTGCCTATGAACACATTATCTGTTGATATCCTTATGATTGGTCTAAAGATGCGATTGAATGAAAAACGACACGTCGGTTCACAAGCATCATTTCATTCTAGAATGTACAAGAAGGAAACTACAAGTCGACATTTTGAATGTTTTCTCTGTATATTTTGCCATAAATAACATCCTAATGATGCTTCTTATTGCACTTGCCTCCTTGTGGAATCGCAGGCATCCCATCACTAGGAGGTGACGTACACTCTAGTACTTCACCATTCTTCGTAGCTAGAGATTCGAGTGACCCGAAATGACATGCATAACTCTGGCCTGTCCCTAGATCAGGTAACTGCTGCACAGTCAGGGTGATCTAAAAGTGAAAGAAAAAAAAGAGATACATTTAATAATAATATTTATTATTTGAATATTCAATGAACTCCAAGAGCTAGCTCCATCGGTCAGGGGTACTAAAGACAAAGTGGAAATAACATTTGGTGAGCTCAAATGACTGGGAATGAGCGACAGGTATAGTATACGAAGCACGACATTCTGTATCATTCCGACGCATGATAAAAAGATTTTCTTAGAGAGTCACAAATTTCAGAACATAATAAAGATGGTGTGACATGAAATATACCGTTTACTGTACGAAGCCTAAATTCATTCAGGGTACAGAAAATGAATTGCGCACAATTTTTACTCATCACAATTAAGAAGGCAAAGTGCATGGAACAAATATGTGAAATTATATACAGATGAAAACCTATTTCAATTCTTGAGATCCCTAAAATAAAATTATTAGGCCCCATACATGTACGTCGTTTGTGCGATAGGCGTCGCATTGACGTAAAATATTTCCACCTATACCTATCCGCCTAATCTGGAAAAGTCCTTAACAAATCTGCACTTTGAAGTAGGCCTAAGTGTTTAATTTCTAAAGCAGGTTTCATTTTTGTTCCTATAACGGATGCAATAAAGATGTAATTTCAATGCATTTGTCTCTCACCTGTTGCTCAGTGACTGTAATTGGCAGGTTATCATAGGGCGCTACATCGGTAATATTAATGCACTGAGCAGCATTGTAGGCCAGCCATCGAGTAGATACATCAGGTGTTGGACAGTCTGCATATCTCGTACATCTAAGACAGAATTCAACGTTATCACATAGCTTCGTAGCCGACAGTAACCAAAAACCAAAAACCAAAATTGACAAACATGAAATGTCATACTTTCCAGATTTCATTGAGAAACATCAATAGGTCATCACTGAATTAGATGGATCGTACAAAATTTGTTTCACGTACAAATAATTACGACTTCGGACAACCGCAGCTCATCGAACTTTGTATTAGTCATGTAAATAAAATGGAAGTTATTTCAGGGACACGATCAACAACTAAACTGACCAAGCTGAAAGGTCATTTTTCATCCTGTACACAAAAAGATACCACGGTAAGGGATTTTCACTGTACCTATTTGTGCATGTCCTAATCCTTACAAACAACACGGCACATAATATGACAAGAGTACAAATGAATTTGATGGAAATGCCTTTTATTTTCCACCTGCACAGTATCGCATCCTTTTTAGTATCTCCTATTTTAAACCTTTTCAGCACCCTTTTCACCCCAAAGTGCTATTGTCATGTTGTCATGATTTTTTTCCCAAGTATGTGAAAAAAAAAACGCTCTCAGCTTTAATCTGATACCCAAAGCATAAGAGTCCACTGATCCTTTTTTTTTAAGGCAAATGTTTTAGGGTTGTATTTTTTGGGGTCACCCTGTACAACATTAATATAGAATAGACAGTTTGCGGTAACACTATGTACATGTCTTTTGGGTTGTGTGGTTCTGACTTCGGCGACGTTTCGAACAGTGTGCTCTGTTCGTCGTCAGGAGACTGCCGGACTCTTACTGGTGTAGTTGTTTTAGTAGTGGAGGCTGGGATTCAGCATCAGGAAGATTCTTCAGGACCATTACAATGATACACCATGAATGATACATTTCCACACATGTTGCAACCCATCTGAGTGGTGATAGACTACCGTTCTTACACCCCTCAACTCACTCGAACACTTTGGAGACATCCCATATGACTTACCTTCGTTCCAGAGTGCACCATCCACAATATGGGTCTCCATCATTCCCTGCATCAGTCCCAATACATGTTTCGCATGTCGTGTATTGGCCACAATTCTCCACGCGAAGCTTCACCAACTAAAGTGAAAAACATATTGTACCTTTTTAACAATCTAAATGTTGAGAAAGAAAATTATTTGATTTCAGCAGATTTTTTTTTTTTCAAATTTGAATCTTGTTTTCAGTTTACAAAGCATAAAAGTTCATGTTCATTATGTTCCTTTGGCCAAAAAAAAATATTTTTCTTGTCAGCTTTTCCCTGCCAAAAGTGTCTTCTTTTCTGCTAATGCGAAGCCCACGGGCGACGCTAAATAGAGCAGAGAAAGTAATTATTTAGTTAATAGTAGTACTCCTCAACAGGTATGTATGCATGTGCTTACCTTTTGTTCCGTCAAGAGAAATAGTACTCGTGTTGTGTCATTAACCTTGACGTCTGGCAGAACTGGACTGGTATCAACGCTAATGTGTTCATAAAGTCGGCTGGCAGTGTTACTTTCCATATGAACCTAATGACAAAATGACACATAGCACCTTAATACATCTGTTTACACCTACATTGCACATAGAGAGTTAAGAAGGTTCACATGGATTTATGAATAGTTAAGATGAACCCGCCATGCACTGCTTGCCTTGAGTGTATGCTTAAGCATCGTCGTTAATGCAACCAATTTATTAAGAGAGACCAAAAATTTAGCTTATTATTTCTCATTTTAAAAAAATCAATAACTTTCCAGAATCAATGCGTCGTGCTAAAAAACTAAAGTCTCGAGTGCAAGGGGTGTAAACGAAATGGTTTGAAATAAAACTGTTTCTAAACGGTCCAATTTAGGCTCTACGACGCCTTCAGTCATTACAATTCAACCGATTAGGGATAATTTACCTTGAGTAGATCTCCACTTGATGTTCCGATTAAAGCGATGGTGTGGTTGACTTCTATTGTGGTTATGATTGATGACATGAGAGTACCAGGCAGCTCTAGAATTGCCGTGGATGGAACGGGGTCCATGCCCTTGGCGTACTGGAATAATGGCGTTCGATTACTATCATCGGTCGCGGGTATGCAGAAATAGGGATCCAGAATGGGAATCTATAACGAAAGTAGAAAGAAGAAACATAATTAAAACAGTTAAAGTAATATCGTGGTTCAGCAGTGGCAATTATCAAGACACATGAATCCAGGAAGTTCAAGGAGAGTCGTTGATGAAACGAGAATTTCAATCTAATTTAATTTAAGGGTTTTATTATCGATTCGTCGCATCCCAAAGGCTGAATTGTGGATGATTTACAATCAAGTACAAATATAACAAAACATTTGAATTACTTCATTCAAAAAATGAATCGTCATAACAAATTAATAGCTATCAATTAAGAATAAAATGAATAAGATGTCAAATAGAATAGCAATAAAAGGACACACATAAAGAATATATATATTTTTATCTTCTAAGTAACGAATAAAGCAACATTCGTGCTGATGAAATTACGGTTGTTAATAAAACAGGCTCAATTGAAAAATAGAAATTTCGATTTCTATGTTATCATAACAAATTATCATACCCAAAGTCACGCATTACCAATCATTACCAAGAATGAGTGCTTTAGCGTGTTTATACAACCACATTGATGCATCAGCCAGGGGACTACAAAGAAAGCTGCCTTGTTTTTACCATCATCTATGGTTCAATTACCTATAGTTTACACCATTATTGCAGAAAGAACCAGTTTGAACCGTTCAGCCTTGAAATGAAGTGGAAAAGCGGGACTGAGGGCTTGACTTTACACGACAGGTTTGCTAGGCATTTGGGGGAGGGGCATATTCAGGGCCTACAGAGTAACAAACATCAAGAGCAGAATAGCAATGGCAAAGAAGCACTCACTGGACCTGGTCCCCATCTGGAAAGATGGAGGCGTCGATACATTGTCAAAATGTTACATTTTAACGTTTTTACCACCAATTTCGGTTTCTCCTCTTTCGCTATTCTATATTCCCGCTCGTTGTTTTGAAATAGCAGCATGTTTTGCACGTATAGTGCTTGTTTTACAATGACTAAGATGACCCTGGACTATTTTATTTTAGGTTAGGCAACCTGTGCATTTGGGTTGGCTCGGGTTGGGTAATTGTGTTGGATTGTGTTTACGCCGTAACAGTACAGATAATGAACCTTTTGATTCGTAACCGTGCAGTTTAGAGATGCATACATTTGCTCTTCAAAAAGTGGATTTTGTTTAGTTTGAATATTTTTTTTCATTTCATTTTATGCATTTTAGGTTAGGCAACCTGTGCATTTGGGTTGGGTTGGTGTAAGTCGGGTTGGACTTACGCCGCAAAAAGTACAGGTAATCCGCCTTTTATTCGAAGACGTGCAATATACAGATGTATACCTTTTGCTCTTCAGAAAGTGGATCTTTGTGGAGTTTGTATATTTTTTTCATTTTATTTTTTTATGCACAAATAACCCGCTCTGCGAGAGACAGAATTGTTGTCTGGCAGCCAATCACTCAAAATGTGTGAAGAAATAATTCCATAACCAAACGCTGGTGGATTTTTGAGTAAATTGTCTCATTTAAAAGTGAATAAATGTTATAGTGCTAGGCAAATAGAAATTAAAAAAAAAATCGAGCTGTAACTCGAAAACAGCACGGGGAATTCATCTTTGAATGTCATTAGAGATATGACAACATCATTCTAAATACGCTTCTGTACTCACCCCGAAACTACTGCAAAAAGAACCGTCCAAATAGTCAACAGAGTACGTATTTCCATCCTGAATACATCCCCGCACTGCTTCTCTGAAGGCATCCAAGATATCCGTCATCCTGTACACACACAATGCTGAGTGATCGATGGTTACATCACTGGTACCCGTAGCTCCTTGGTTCTTGGCAAACACAGCATACAGCACCTGCTCGTCTGCATGGAGACCCAATGATGCCGCTAGATCAGGTCCTGCTGGTCCAAAGTGAGCTGCTTGCACCAAGCTGTACACACTGCCATCTGATCCACTGCATTGTAGGGTAATTTCTGTGTAAGCGTCCAGGTTTGGACCGCCTTGACAGACTCTGCTTATCTTAGAAACAAATAGGGCAGAATTCATCAAATCCTCCTTCTGAGAGGCAACAAAGTATGTGAATCCACCGTAGTCAAATACTTCCTCATACCTTATGGAAAAAAATGCACTTTTGGCGTTCAAATTGAATTGGACTTCATCCTCTTGCGAATATGCCGGTAAAAAATTGTGATCGTTTTCAAGGCTTCTTCTCGTTATACCTCTGAAACCATGTACATTGCGCCTGGTATAAGTAACAGACACAAAAAGCATACTTTTTCCATTTCTTCCTTGAGCAATCAGACTAACGGTTGATGCATCCTCAAGCCCTGCAACGTAAGAAACCGACTCCATTATCACGTTCTTGATATCCTGTAACTGCCGTAACTGACAAATACCATCATACACACCACCACAGGTTATCAAACTGTTTGGCCGGGTACTATCAACTACCAGTATCTTGTTGTAGTTATTTGTAAGGTGACAGGGCATCACATCTGGCCTGCTGGCATCACAGGTTGTATTATGCATCTCTTTCAAACTACTGTCCAACCTGTACAACCAATTGACAGCTCCAACATACACATCGCCATGGTCACTCAAGGTAAAATGATTGAACTTTGATGCACGTCTTTGGGGTTCATCCAAAATATCTGGATTGTCAAAGCTGGCCAACTCATAGTCTGACAGGTCTCCAAGCCACTCAGCAGATGTGGTTAAAAAATGTACGCAGATGATGCTCCAAGTCAGAACAACTATCGACAAGACGGAATTATGGCTCCTGTGAGACTCCATGATCTTCACATCAGAAGTTTCGGATGGTTTTGGATCATAGACAAATTAGCCCAAAGTCACAGTCTGTACGGAGAAAACAAAACCCAATAATCAAAGTTTATGATACCGTATTGGAAACATCTCTTCTTCCTCAAATTATAACTTGTATTCTACTATACTGCGCAATAACCAACGACTAACGACTGTTTGAAACTGGGGGAAATAATACGAGATATTAATCGTACCTGATAATGTAGGCTTATTCCCTTGCACTCCGGAAATAGTCTGTGGCGCTTGGAATTATTGGATTGGACGATTGCAGTTACATTAAAGTCAAAGCATGAAATAACCACTGCGTTAACCACCACAAGTAACCATTCCAAATGGGCTACATGGAGAGAAGTTTGTTGTAAAACGTTCAGGCGTTCACAGGTGTACGAAGTGATTCTCCTCAACAAAGCAATCCCTCTGCTTAGTCTAAAGAGCACATGATCAATAGGGGAGTGACCATAATCGTGGGGTAGGTACTCCAATGCAGGATCTTCATAATTATGTTTGCTAAATCACCCTACCTGAGAGAGTTTGTTGTAGAACGTTCAGGCGGTCACAGGTGTACGAAGTGATTCTCCTCAACAAAGCAATCCCTCTGCTTAGTCTGAAGAGCACATGATCAATGGGTGAGTGACCGTGATCGTGGGGTAGGTACTCCAATGCAGGATCTTCATAATTATGTTTGCTAAATCACCCTACCTACCACTCAGCACATCTAACAACCACAAACACATACACTCAGGTATAACGGCAACAATCTGATGTCGATAGTGTCCACAATGCAGCGATTTACATATTTTACAAAATGGAAAATAGAAAGGTTTCTTCATGGAACAACGAACATCACTTGTTAAGTTACCGTAGCTGAGTTTATAAACCTGGTATGATTTTGGGGGTTTCATTTCCGGGTGTTGAAACTCAAGGTCTGTTTATCAGTTCCCTAAACAGTTGGTAATAAATGGCTCATCTAAAGGTGTCTCTCAGTGTTAATTGTTGCTGTGGCAAACAATATATTACAATACTGGAACCTCTTTTTCTTGAGACTGACAAGAAATATAGTTGTTACGAACAAAAATCCAATTCACAGTGAATGTTCCCTTATAGTGCTGATTATTATTTCTATGAAATGTCAGTTTTGCCTTGATAAGACCAAAAAAAAATAGTTGGTCTCCGGTCAGCGCGCGCGTCGATTTTAACTTCTTCCAATGCTGGGTACATAACATTGCCCAACAGTGATGTCTTTAATATCCAACCTCAAAAACTGAACAACTAATGGAACTACATGTGTAGGAATTCAGTATTTCAAGGCTTCGTCATGTCACGCAATGCCCTCTCTGTTTCTATGCTTTGGTTCAGAGTTTGTTTTTATAATGCGAGTAAACAAGACAGCAAAATAGTTTCTCTGGATAAATTACGATACGAAGGAGTAACTCTACTCGGATAAAACAGGTGGACAGCAATACATTCAATGGAGACAACCAACTGAAGAGTTTCCGACATTTCCGACACTAAAACGTGCAATTTTTCACCTCCACATGCCATAGAAATAGAAGTCTATAGGAATGTACAATTTCACAAAGCATACAAGCCCTATATGCAGGCAAGATCACAGTTGTTTAGCTTGAAGCACATACAATTGTTCAGGTATTTCGTCATATGGGAAGTGAATATCGCTACGAATTTCCAAAAGTAGTTTCCGGGTGCACAGTTTTGCTATTTACTATACATGCATTCAACTGCAGGGCAATACTTACCTATGGTGCCAATTAATGAAGCAAACACTGACTGTATAGAAGCACTACAAAATGCCGTGTCAAGTTTAACAAAGGTCCAAGGTTGGAACATAATGGTTGAACTATAGCTGAACCATAGGTATTTCGACGTGATGGGAAAGGATTTTCGTTTCCTGGTGCAGTAGGTAAGGGTTTATCCCAGTCACTTATTATAATAGTTCAGTTTGCATGGATGCATTAATTAGTTTCAATTACAATGAATATCATTTTCAATGATTTTTATTAATTTTCAAAAGTTGCTTATTGTATGCCGTCATTATGGGAAACGTTTAGAATTCAGTGTTCCAAGGCTCCGTCATGACACGCAATGCAAACACCCGTGGAGCAAGAATTGTATTTATTGTGGACAACCTTGAAGTTAGATGCAAAGACAGCGACCTCATGTAATTATCACACTTAAATGCTGATACAGGGAGGAGTGTTGCAGGGAATTGGGTAATTTGTTCACGTTTCATAAGAAAATATTCACGTAAAATACAGTACCCTGGCGCCACTTTATTGCAACATTATTGTTATGCCCTTCAATGCCACAAATTATATAAAAAAAGCTTGAATTAGGCCACACAAAATTTGTTCCCCATTTTATTATTATTTTTAATAGGGATAGTGTGTTGGTAATTGTGTTTTTTTGCTCGATAGTTTATGGCCAACGGAAGTATTATGGAATAAATGTGTCACTTTTGTTTTGATATTTTTAGCAGGCAGGCATTACTAACAGTGAACGTTTAAACTAACTTTTCATTCTGGATTTGCTGCGCTGAATACTGCAGCGAGACCAACTGCCGACCAACGTACAAAAACAAATGAACTCCGAGTGAAATATGCAGGACGATTTCCGCAAAAAAAAAAAAATAATAAGATTCAGTGTAATTGAATCTAGAATTGAGAAGGTATCAGACATTGAACATGGTAGAGCTACAACATGCAATAGAACCAAATACACCAGAACCGACTTGTTGCTTCTGTATGTAACAAATCCTGTGAGTCAACAGGCAAGTTAGGACTCTATTGACGCTCAAAGACTTGCTAAGATGGGAAATTTACATACCTATTAGATACCCCAGAACATTTTCTCGCGATATATTTCCGAATTTTGTTTGTGAGAGAACTTTTTTCTTGGGGTGGCCTGGGCCAAAAAATCTGGTATAAATGATGGCAAATGTATTGCTATTGAGCGTCAAGATAAACATTAAACAATGATGACTGACTTCAAGAATGTTGCTTCTAAACTTAGTCTTTTACATTGGGTTGGCACACTTTCAGAATCAAAGTCAGAAATATGTGTGTGCAGTTTCACATATGGTGTTGGAATTTGGCAGGATGTGTATTAGTTCCTTGTAAATCATGCTAAGGATTTAGGGTTTTTATCACAGTTGTACCTTGATTTAAATCAGGACTTAAATCAATAATTATAAAAAGTTACAATCAATCAACCCTGTTCCCCAACAATAATCTACGAACTGGAACCCTCAGCATCAAGTAAATGAAGAATGTCATCGGATAGATCGATCTGTCTGTGAAATGTGAGCATGTGATTCAACACATCTGAACTAAAATTTGTCTTGACATTTTCAACAGAAATTCACCATTGGCTATGTTAGCAATACACCGGTTTCTATGCAATTCTGCTAATCTGATTAAAAAGTGATTATACGTGTCTGGGTATCAAATGAATAAATGATCCAAAAAGCGAGATTATATAATGTCAAATGAATATCGAATATGAGCATTTATACAACACTCGGTGCTAACTACAATCATTGCTCGATCTAAAAACTCTATACTACTTTTCAAAACAGATCTCCAAAATACTTCTTTCGCAGGCATTCACCAACTGTTTCCGGTGGTATTTAGTTACCTGTTAAGTCAAATTGTGTTTCTACGTTTACTAGGCAACCATTGAGCAGTTTCCGTTGCCTTGCATAAAGAACTTCTTTACAAATACAAAAGACTCTCCTTTTAAAAAAAGGTGATTTTTTTTAAAAGGTGATTTTTTTAAAAAGGTAAACAAGATATCATTTTATTAAAATGAGCTACATTTCATATTTATTTTGCATATATATTTTACAAAGTTCAGATAACGTAGGATCTTATTTTAAAATGTTGCAATTAGCCTGGCTAATGGTTATATAATACAATGCTGGAAATTCACAGAGTATTTTAGATTAAACAGTTTTAGAATATTATTATTATTACATGTAAGCATTTTCTTCTTGAAAAACAATGACGCATTTGCGAAAATCCGAACATTGAAGTAATACAAATTACGTAACTGCATGCGAACGTTTCATTCAATGATGGTGAACAACAATAATACCTCAGATTAATATACCACTGTCCATGAACTACAATGTCAATCGGAGAAAAAAAATGGCATAATACGCTTAGAATACATGTTTTAGCTATTATTTTAGCTTGCTACCTTCTTTATATTGATAACGATTTCATTCTAAACCACGGAGAAAAAAAACCTTGCAAGATTAAATCTTTTTTCTTAGAAATGAAAGTGAGCAAGGAGTGTGTCCTTTGTATCCATCTTGATAAGAAAAGATTTTAATATGTTGGCCATTTTAATATGTTGGCCACTTGAAGACCTTTTCTTCAGACTATTTTCTTTTCGGATATCTCTTATCGGGGAATGCGCACGGCACTTATCTAATGACAATTTCATTGACATAATCCAAGGGATCATGAGCGGCGGTCGCATAGCTCCCGCTGGTTTCTCCGTCACTACACGGGCCGTCAGCACCAAAGGCGGTCTCCTGCTGCATCGGGACCAGAAAGCTGTCGTCTGTGACACCAGGTTCTTCGCGATGTTTGATGGGTCCCATACCAACCACATCCGCACTAGGAGCTGCTACGTAGTCGCGGTCCCCCTCCAACAGTTCTTCCAGCTCGTTGGCAACTTGGACGAAGGTGCAACGTGACTTGGGATTGTCCTGCCAGCAACGTACCATTATGCCGTAGCTGTATCAGTCAGGTGAAGTAACAGGAATTATTAGATAAGCTTGCCTGATCGTATCAAATTATGTTTGCATTTTTACTTGAAACCCCCGACAGTAAACTTTTCATTATTACTGATTACTCTACCCTATTTTAAAGTCAGAAAAATCTTTGAGAATTGAGTTTCCCTCTTATATTTGAAACCCCAAGAGTGTTATTCCTTCTTAAAATTAAGTAAAACTCCTGAGAATAAAATAGGTGCATAAGGATCCCTTTACCTTCGGGAAAAGTTGAGTGAAGCATAAACTAGCCTTGCATACTTTTTACAGCAGTAAAAACGACAATAGCTATATTTGTTACATGTATTTTTAAAGGTAATGGTGAGCGCTGTCTGAACATACATTTCTGGCGGGCAGTTCTTGGGAGCATCAATGCGTTGACCACTCTTCAAGAAATCATACACGTCTTGGTTGGGTATTGCTTGGTACGGTCTTGCACCCCTACTGAAAATCTCCCACAGGAGCACACCGTATGACCACTGTAGAAAACCAAAGAAGGCAATACATTTCTCAATGTAAGAGACCATTCCAATGATGCTTGTCAATGAGCCACATAACACTTAGGTTCGCCAAAATTAATGAAGATTGTCAATACCTACTTTGTAATCGAGTGTTATTAAACTATTTCAAAATATCATGTGTCAAATGTAAATAGGCCTAACCAAAAACGTTGATTATTGAGAAATCAATTCAGATCGCCGCCTTCACACGAAATATTCCAGCTGAGGGTGTCTGATGTAAATTATTAATAATTAACGTTTCATTACCAGACATACATTCTCTCTAAGTGATGGTTCCACGGAACGTAAAGTCATGTGCGCAACTTTCTTTTCCTTCAGATCTTTATCTTGACATCATGGAACATTCCAATCAAAGATGGATTTAATTGCATACCACGTCAGTCCTGGCGTTGTACACTCGACGTTCCATGGACTCGGGAGCCATCCATTTGATAGGCAGCTTAGCCTGGACATCACCGCTTGTGTAGTAATCCGAATTGTGCATGTCACGGGATAGTCCAAAATCAGCTATCTTCACCAGAAGATCACTATCCACCCTATAGAGGTTAATAAACGTTGATCTTACCTTCGGATCTCATCATTTAAGAATTGGAATGCCATTCACTGAAACTCTTGAGTAAATTCAATGAATGCATGTCCCCTGACATCTCGTGTGCTTTAAAATTGTTTTCGACGAAACAGGTAACCAATATCTCGTAAGATTACTAAAACATCTGAAGCCAAATTTTGCTTTCATACAAACGCTTATATAAAGACATGTGCAAAATCACAGAGTGGCATAGAAGAGAGGATACACTTACATGCAATTTCTGGCCGCAAGATCTCTGTGGACAAACTTGTGCTGAGGCAAACCTCATCAGCAGAGATGTCGCCAAGGTCTAAATGAAAAGAAAAACCTCTAATGAATAACTAAATACCACACTCAGAACAAAACAAATTAAATAGGCTACTGTTTACCAAATGGTACAGCATTTTGTTCATTATTTCTCATCAGTAAACTACCAATTATCAAACTAAATCAAATCTACTAAAATCACCATTAAGTGAGTTCCAAACACATGCCAAAGTCACTTATTCTTTGATCAAAATTTCCACTACTTACTATCGACATTTTGATTGTCAATATCGCTCTTGACTACATACCTGTTTCTTCTTAACCAGATATGTCTTGAGGTCACCGTTTGCCATGAAGGGTATCACCACCAAGGGGTGTTTGTCTGCGTCAAAGGTCAACCCCAGAAGCCCCAGCACGTTTACATGGTCGAAAGTTTTCATGACCAGGCCTTCCTCCAAAAACTTCACCACATTTTTCGGGTCCGAGGTGTCTATACATTTGTACAAGCAAAAATAAGGCATGTAATAACTGGCACGCCTAACTAACGTTTGACAAAGCCTTACAGCGGGGAACAATTTGATTCATTTTAGTTCGAGAGCATTTTACAAGGTTATTGATAACAAACAGAGCATACTGTTCGAAACGTCGAGTTAAACCTACAGGTTCTTCTCAGAATTAAACACACAACTCTTAAAGGTGTTGCCTCAAACCTTCCATTCATTGATCATGTCTACCATGCAATCCCTTAAGTCTCTTTTAACATTTTACAACCCACAATTCGCAATTTTGAATGAAAAGACTATTTCGGGTCTTTTTTACTCAAGACGCACATTCATTTATGTTGTTTTAGTTCCTCTTTCTCGGTGTACCGTCATCTAACACCTCTTCTGTAAATCAAATCAGCAACAAGTAGATACTCAAGACGAAAATGCATAATCTTTTGAAATAGGCCCTTTTTTAACCGAGGGATCATATTTCAATGCTCTGTTTCGAATCTATACTGTCATAGCAAACATCTCTCACAAATGGCCGACATTCTCGTCACTAACCTTGCACTGTCTTCACTGCCACAATTTGATCTTCCCCGGACGTATCGTGTAGAACAGCTTTCAGTACACGCCCAAATGCACCTGAAACATTTGATCAAGTGTTTAATATACGCCATCAGCCTGGGAGTTTGGTCGGTATCAAAATGAGAGGAATAATGTTCATTGTGATTTTTTGGCATGGTATGCTACCCTGCATTTGGAAAATATGTAATAGCATTGCAGCGGTTGGCAGCTTTTTTGGGGTGCTTTCACTTTTTGAAAAAAAAATGGCGGCCAAAACATGCTTGTTACCACATATAATTAGTCCGGTAACAAGAATATTGGCGGCCATTTAAAAAAAAATAAAAGTGATAACATCAAAAAAACTGCCACCGCTCACACTGCCAAGCTGTCACACATTTTCCAACTCTAGAGGTGCATACCTTGCCAGACATCGCCATGAGCATTGTTCCATTCGGTCATTTGATACCGGTGGCCCAATTTTTGGACCGAAGCTGATAGCCTAATACTCATCAAAACTCATTGTCTTTTGCTGGTACCGAAAAACCTGCCTGATAGCAGAGACAAACTGACCTACCGACTTACTGACAGACCCAGCGACTGGCCGAGTCTAAATAAACTCCTTAAGTGCGAAACGTGAAAATGCGTTTCATTTACGCCTTGGAATGGTTTGTACACACAGCCCCTGTACTTTATATAGGCCTCTCTTCTCAGGTAAAATAACAGCTTACACTTTGCACTCATGAAACGTTCATTGTTCCCTCGTACAAAGTCACTACCTTGTCCGAGAGTTTCTCCCAATTCCAGTTGGCTGAAGTCGATATGAATGTCGTCGGGAACGAAGCTGACCTTGTTGTTCAGGACAATGCGCTTTTGTTTTGGCTGAGCAGATTCCGAATGTTTCTGGGATCTATACCCCCTGCGTCTTTTGACGTGGGAGTCAATTTCTGAAGAAAAGAGATATAATGTCGCATCACATTAAATAACGTAATATAGTGTTCACTTTACGACCACTCTCAGGCTTACAAATCGGCAGACAATTGCATGCTACTCAAGATTCACAAGTTGTCTAAAATAACAATCAGAATTCAATCTTCATCTTGACAAAAGAGTTCTATACTTATTTTTGTTGAAGAGGAATTTGTTTCATCCTGTCTGCAACTTTACAATTTACAGTCAATTGAGGAGGTTGCCATTTGAATTCTTTTGCCATGTATTTTACCATCAAAACCCAATAGCAGCCATCTTGAGATGATTTGTTTAAGAAGTAGAACATAATTGAATACGGAGATGTGCAGCTACGCACTGTTTATTTTTTTCCAAACTATCATAATTATGTTTGAAAATGAATAATTGGCTTTTAAGTTTTAAAGGGTTTCGGGATGTTTACCATTTCGCTGTCTTGAGATCAAGTGATTTTAATGTGCAAGAGCATATTCCTAGGTAGACTGAGATTATACTCTCCCTTCACTGCAGTTTTGTGCACCTTCTTTTTTTGGCACTCAGGAGTATAGTATTCGAGTTAACTCAAGTCACCTCTTGCCACCAGCACTTACCGAGATGAATCGCAACTATCCTGCCCAACAGTCTTCGGTCATGGGTGCGCTTCCTTCGCAATTGTCTGCAGTACACGAAGGTAGCAGGGAGAAGTATCGCCATGGAGAGTAGGATGGTCAAACTCGGTACAAGTATAGCGACAATTGGCACCGTGGGATAGACCAAGTAGCCCAACCGAGATTTTAAGTTATTGTGGAAAACCTATGGAATAATACAAATGACCAAAATTCAATGACCAAATATTATGAAGGCAAATTAATTTGTTGAGTGCTATGGCCTCGTGGTTAAGGGCACTGATTCGTGGTCGGTGGGTAAAGCTGCATGTTGTGGGTTCGAGTCCTGGTGGGGTCATGGTGCGTGTGCCCTTGAGCAAGGCACTTGGCCACTCATTGTTTCTCTCCAACCAGGAGTAAATGGGTACCTGTGAGGGCAGAGATGGTTATTGTGATTGAATTACCTTGTGCCTAACAGGCTGCTTTGAGCTGTATACTCCCAGCTGATTCACACATGGATCCGCCCCTCACTTACCCATACCACAGGCAGACTTTTCCCGGTATCTCCTCCCATGTAGTCACCGGCTGCTGGTGCCTCATCGGGCAATTCACATACGAGTGTTGTCGCACTGAACAGGATAATGGGACAGCTCTCTTCGCCGATCCTCACGACAATTTCTCCCTCTGTGATAGCGCTGTCAATCCGCTCGCCCTGTCAAAGCATCCACAGGTAATTTAAGCTAAATTGTTTTAAAGGAAAGTTATTGGTATCTGGATTGGTATATTTCGGAAGAGTTTAGTCTTTTCGGTTGTGACAAAATGTGCAACACTTGTTTTATTTCTAAATAGAAAGGTCATAACCTTTGTCCCACGTAAGACTTTCTGTCGTTGTTCATGTACATGTACTCCTATACACACCGAGTGAGGACTGAGGTTAAAAAAAAAAACCTGAACTTTTTTTCAAATTACATTTACATTTGCTTTTGCAATGACTGATCTAAAATTATGAAGTTTTGTAACTCAGCACGAGTTACTCAAATAAGCCCACTGTATTTTTGGAAGATCCACGTGATTCAGGAGGAAGAGATATCAACTTGAATTTATCTTAAATCACATAATGAGAGGTGACATCACTTAACAAAGCACCAAACAAGTGTGCTTCGTGCACGTTTAATACCGACAGGTCCCATAATCTACAGATAGAAAAACACAGCACTGAAAATGACTGGCGCATAGAATGAGACACGCATACCAACCGTAATTCGCAAGGTTTCTCCTTCTTTGTCCTTCATGCCGCCTCCAAATTTGTAATACACTGGATCCTCAAAGTACTCCAAGTCGACATCGTTATCCTGAGACCATGTCAACAGTTGAGTGACCCCATCCATGATGAAGCCAAAGGTCAACTTTTTATTCCTCATGTTGAGGTCTGTTATGTTAGGAGACCGGCACTCCATGCTCGTTGCAGATCCACCTCGACATTCCTGCAAAACAAAGTCCCACATTATTCAGTTGACAATTCTGTTCAGCATAAGCTCCGGTTGACAAAGGCACCCTCTTTGTTTCTACTGAAAAACAAAAATGTTTTGATGATGTAAATGGCTATCACACTTTATACGTCGTACACTTTTTGCCATTTTCACATTTAAAGAAGTCGTCAGCAGTAACTGAGAAAAAAGAAGTTGTAAAAAGTTCCTAATTGTATGTTGGAAGAGTGGAGCAAGTGGATATAGAAATGGGATGTTAAGGGGAGATTGAGCAGGGTAGGACAGAGATAAAAATCATTTAAGGTAACAGGTATAACACATTTCTCACCTCTTTAAGATTACCATTTCCAGAAGTGACGAAGATTTGACGGTTTCTGCTTGTGTTTAGCAAAGTGCCAGTAACCGTCAACATTCGACCACCCCTGACAATGAGAAACACCGATACAAAGTGATGAAAATGCGTTCTACGCTGAAAGATCCTGGTTGGTGTATAGAAGAATTTAAACAACTAAGAAATGCACGCAGGATTCACTCAAAAAACATTCTGAGCAGATAATTTTCTTACAACTTTAGAATCAAACATTATATTTGTTTTCTGTTCACTCAGATTATCAGTAGTCTTGACTTATAAGATTATTTGTATTAGCACGCTTCTAAAACAGCCAAGCATAACTGTGTTTACAAGTTTGCTATCTTGAAAGCGTGTCTTACAATAGAAACATAACATTTCAGAAATACCTAGACTAAAATTCCTTTTTACCCTCATTTTGTTATGTTTGCATTAAAAACGATTTAAAACACCGGAAATCCTCTTTTAATGTGGATGATACAAATTGAATTTATAGCCCATGGTAAAACAGAGGAAGACAGAAAAATCATGTACACTCACGACATGATGCTTGTCAGAGGATCCACCTTAGTAATGGTAGGGTTAACAATGTAAATTACCTTTTTAACCCTCATTTGTTGTTCGTGTTTAAAAATATTTAAAACACCGAAACTATCTTTGGACAATACATGCTGTAATAGAGACACAAATAATGTGGAAGATGCACATTGAAGTATATATAGCCCAGGTAATACAGATGAAGACAACAATCATGCAGACTCACGAAACGATGCTTTTCAGAGGAGACACACCAGCAATGGTAGGATTCTCACTGTAAGTGTACATATCTGATGAGGTTCTCATGGCCCCATCAAAGGAGACTTTCACAGCACCTTGATATCCAACTTGGCCAGCAGTGGTTGTACATTCTAGCATGGATTCAACTGAGTGGCTGAGTAATTTGGGAAAAAACAATTCACATAATTACAATATTACATTTTTGCAGAGATTTTAAAAGTGAAATTCATCTGTGTTACGTGTTTGATGCCCCTTAATACTAAATGTATGTATAGCAATGTATCATGGTAAATATTGGCATAATTTCGAGTAGTTCTACAGAACAGGATGGAGTATATATTTATAATACAGTAACCAAAATATGCTCCCAAAAAAACACTTTAACCCGGTCCACAAAGGAGGGAAAAAGCAAACCTTTTAAAGGACATTTAAGCAACTGAAGCTTGATAGGAGTCCATTGTTTGGAACGCGAGATTGTACCAATGTTGAATTGATAATTATCGTACAAAAACACTTTTATTTTTCAGTTTCCAATGATTGCTTCAAATAATGTCATTCTTGAGTTCCAGGGGAAAAAAATTAGACAATGCTCCGATTTGTTCCGTGTACACAACAATTTGAAAAATGATGTGCAACGAAAGCGACATAATACCCTGTTATGTTGCAAGGATTGTCGCCGATAAACGCTTCAATATCGCGTCCTGTGTTGAGGGCCGCACCATTCACACTAACTGTCGTCCCACCGGCTTCAGGGCCGAGGCGGGGTTGGAAATCTGTAATCGTCGGGTCCTGTTAACGAGAATTATTTTGTGTAAACATTGAAGAACTAACTGTGTTCGTCTATCAAAAAAATTTTCCTCATCAATTATATTATTATTATTATTATCATTAATCATTTCTGGTAATGAAACAAAGGATTCCTCAAAAGCGCCCAAGGCACTGTAGCTCGCAAGCCTGAAGAAACCTGTAGAGAGAAGACAATGAGAAGAAATTACAGTTTTAGAGGTGGGAGGAAAAGCCCAGAAGAATATTCTGAAGAAAACCCACGGAATCAGGCAGGGACTGAAAACCAATCGACATATTGGCCCAGGCGGGATTCGAACCCAGGTCACAGCGGTAGAAGGCGAGGAAAGTACCGCTACGCCAACCTGACTCCCATATCATTGTTATCGTAGGAATAAGTTGATGCCATGGTTATTCGTCCATCGATCCCTGGAGTAATATTGTTTATATATTTCTCCCTATCCTTTACACAAATTTGGACACTTTGACCAAGGTTTTCAGGAAATTCACTCAAAAGTCCGTGGTTTTTCTACAAATTCTTAACTTAAAAATTAAAACAGAAAACCTCCATTTTTGGTGCGAAACTATACATTCAGCTATGATATATCTAAATATTGCTCTGGCTGACATAACACTGTGTCGAACTTCTAAGAAAAGAACGCCCGTGAATAGATCTCATTCGTGATCATACATTCCGTGCTTACTATTTTCATAACAGTGTATAAAACATTTTTCTTGGACGCTTGTTCCTAGTTGTTGAGTTAATGTAAGGAAAACGAATGCGTGCGAGACGTGACTTACTCTGAAGTTAAAGTTGACCATTCCTGAGCTGTGTTGCATTGTACCATCTGCACCCGTGACTTTCAAAGTAACCAGCTCGGCTCCTTCACTTTCTGCTCTCGTTCTGCAGCTGACACTGAAACATAAAATGGTATGTGACATTTAAAATAAATGGAGGTTGAGCAAAACTCCTCCATTTCATCAACGCTGTAGCTTAGACCAACTAAATAATACCGTTTAACTGTTAAGCACAAATGTATACTTTTAAGATTCTAACATGTTCATCAACATGGCACACATTCCGCTCTTGACTACATTGTGAATTGAGAATTATGTTTATAAAAAAATATACAATTGATTAGAAATTTAAACAATGTCTTTAAGCAAGGCTGAGGCATACTGACATCGCCTATAAATACTGAAAAAAACCACCTATTATAACTGACGGATACAATTGTTCGATTAGGAAGGTTAAAACGTTAGGGACACAATGAAAAGCTGAACATTAATTAGTCAAAGCTTGAATAAAAAAGTACAAGGTAATGTCTTTGCATGAAGTATGATTTGACCCAACCTTGCTCCAGTTTGGTAGTCTGAGTTTAATCCAGCCAGATCACAGGGCTGATTGCCAACCATCACTGACACGACATCCTCAAATCTCCGACCGATATCAGTTCCCATCACATCTATGACTGTGTTGCCTTCAATGGGCCCAGTCAAGGGAAATACCTAATGCGTGATTTTTAAAACAATAATAACGTTACATACAAACGCAAGTACATGTAACATGGCACAATACATTTAAATACAACACATTTTTATTGAAGATGCATTGGTAAATGCTTTGAAAGACAAATCATTCGGCTTGGTGGCTTTTGCAGTCATCCGTATTGGCCTACTTAATATAAAAGGCCCTACACAGTCATAAAAATGTGGCTTTTTTCATCTGGCACGAAATTTCCCTTTTTCCATTCTGTCACAAAGGCAAGTCAAATGGATACAAGGTGTGCTTCATTTTCTGGCGATATTCTTTGATACTTTGAGGGAACTATAGATAATTATATACAAACATGTTGAAAGTAGCTTCACCTGGAACATTAATAAAGAATATTCAAGATACTTCAAAGTGAATCATACATGTATTCAACTGTAAAGTTTTATAACCTACCTTACTCAGAGATGGATTAGGGCAATTCAATCCGTTATCCAAAGTCACCATATTTTCGATGCAAATTTCACCTGGTTTACAAACACCAGACTCGCTCGGCATGGCACCACACCAAACACAGTCAAGCGCTGGGCGGGCTGTAACACAGCGGCTGCAGTCTGGCTTCTGGACTTCACACTTGTACAATGAAACTGAATTTAAAATAATGTCATTTCTTACAATATCGATATTTTAAAGAAAAACCTCCATTCAAAACTGTTGATAACAGTCAATGAAAATTATAACCATTAGACTGAAAAAAAGCATAAATCTCTTCAATCAGTCTTTATTCTTTACCATTAAATCCATGTATGTCATCCAGGATGTGCGCAACACCGCTTGTGTCAGTCCATGAAACAGTCAGTTTCGCTTCCATCTCTGGATCGTTGGAGAGGTAGGTATACTGTTGAAGGCAAACAATCAACCACACATGTAAAGTATCTTAAGCTCGAAGCATGAACAGTAACTTACTCTCAATTGTTATTATCAAAGAAATTAGCAATCCAAGGCATAAAATGAGTTGAACTTTAACTTACAGCCTTATCTCTGCAAGTAATTAAATCTCCATTGCGGTCTGCATTAACAACCTGAGGTGATCCTTCTACATCTAAGCTACACTGATAGCTAGAAATCTGCACATGGAAAACAAAGGGTATAACAACCAACATTTGGCAGATTTAAGTGAGCCAGGAAAGAGTACAACTAATATTTACTTGGCAGTAAATTCCTTGCATGGACTCTTGTTAAAGGTGTTTGAAAGTGAACAGCTTTCTTTGACGTTTCGATACTTGACAATGCGACGCAATGTATTTTAATGCAGTTATTCAGCAAATCTAATAAAGTGTATAATCAATACAATGCAGACTTGTATTTGGATGCCACTAAAGGGCAATTCAAGAGCAGCTTATCATCCAAACATTAACTTCTATCTGAGCACACGCAATGTTAACGATGACAATAATATTTAATAATATATTAAGTATGCATGAAGCATTTGCAAACTGCTCCGACTCCACTGACCTCAAGTTTACATACCGTCCAGAAGGCATTGTTATGATTGCTAACTTTGCAATTCACTTTGTATTCAATTCAATGTCATATAAAGACGGTCAGATATCTTGATCATTAAGCAATTTAGCAAACTATATTATAATGCAGTATTACACGGGAGAAACTGGGGATGAATTAAGCAAAGTGGTAACTGGACTCAGAAAATCTTGTAAAATGTCACTATCAGACATTGACAAGGCAATTTAATGATAGACGGGGATTAACGTGGACATCACTTACAGATTGACATTATTTGTGTTAGTTGTGTGAATAAACATACCTCAGTTTCGTTTGGCAGGTTTTTAGTCGAGACAGTTATTCTCCTCATAATGTTATTAGGAAGCAGAGCTTCAGCATTCTGGTTCAGCAGTTGAGGGCAAAACTCAGGTCCTTTGACTGCAGAAGCGGCTGGATTCTGTAGGTAAAAACCAACAAACATGAAGTACATGATTATCATTAACTCTCCAACAAATATAAGGCCAAAAAAAAATATTCGGTCTTTGGTCAGACTAAATTCCGGAATTGACGCGGCGACGCGGCTTTTGTTTTTTCTTCAAGCTTGGATTGTACAGACAAGGTGGTGTACTATTTTGCTTTTTTGGTGTCCTCATGTGCATTGGTGTCCTTCATAATTTGCTTTGGTGCTCTCGATCATTTGCCGTAGTGCAATTTCCCATTCCTTGGTGCTCTTTGTTAAAAAAATTGAGGAGGTGCGGCAATAGAGGGCGCTGTTGGAGCTACCGCGGAACATTTTGGAGAAAAAAGATTGACGCGCATGATGAAAAATCGACGCGCGCGCTGACCAGAGACCGACTTATTATTTTTTTGTGGTCTAAGCCTGATTCGACAGAAATCTGGAAAACGAGCTTGTTCCTAAAACAAGAATCCTGCCAGGAAACATAGGCCGCACAAGTTCCGGTCAAGTTCTTAAAGTTGATTTGTTATCACTCCAAAACAACTTCCGCAACCCAAAGCTGATAGATGCATGCAAAGCGGTAGGGGGGCTACCTCCCAATTTGTGTGGTTTTCAGTAATCAAAGCGCAAAACACTCAGTTATTGAAAATTCAGTACGTGATCTTTACAATCAAGACATTCAGCTAAAATAACTGTATGAAAAATGGATTCAACTGCTGCAAACTGACTGAATTGACCGGAAGCCAAGACTTAAGTCAAGACTGAAATACCAGGCCAGCTAATGTTGTGGATTTAAAATAATTGTAAGTATTTTAAAGATTGTGTTGGTCTAATAGCTTGTATAATTAATCTTACGTTATCTCCGGGAACGATGATTTCATAAGCTTGTGTGCATGTGGAGCTATCATGAGTACATCTGTTCTCAAACACGCACCAATCGCATGCCCAGCGACTACCAACGCAGGATACACAACTATGCAAACACCAAAAGCAAATGCAAATAGGATCAATTTTAAAAAACGAACACATAAAACCGACTGGATACTAAATATTACGTATTTAAATACCAAATTTTACTGACAATCAAAAATAACTTAAGCTTTCTCTACTCGTGCTCTTAGCATGTTCCACTTTTTTTTTTAGTCCTGACGAATTGATGTTTTATGGTTAATAAAAACTCTTTTTTATTTTGCACGTTTTTCAAACTATACTGCTATTGTACGTTATCTTTGCGTCTCGGACCGCAAACAAATTCCCAAAAAGTAAAGTAATCAGCCATAACTAAACACGGTGGGTTGCTTTGTTTTATATCTCAATGTAATGCCAGTATAAAACTTACATCTATGGGAGTACGCTTGAACACAGAACCGTTGTTAGAACAACTTAAAACTTAAGAGTATTTAAACAAAAGAAACCGAATACTCACGAAGTGTGAGTTGAACACTCGTAGAAGTAGAAGACGGTGTGTACGAAATGATCTGAAGTTTCGGTCGACTCGACACCCAAATCTACGTATACTGCATCATCTGTGTAATGGGTATGGGGGAAAAATCACTTATTTTAGGAATGGAAAAAGGCACTTTGAAAATGAGTGTGTATTTTCAATAGTAACGAACTCAAATCGGTGCTAATTGTTAGGACCCAAACTAAACAACGCTAATAGAAGCCATTTTCTGTACCAAATGTTTTTGCCAATGATCACATTTTCTCTGTCGATATCCTTGTGACCTTCCCCTTCATGTAATTAAAAACAAAAGACAGGCTGATTCAGAAGCCCCATTCATTCTAAAAGGGACAAGAAATATACCATAACTCTTTTTCAATGTTTGTTTTATATATTGTCCCCTAAATGACGTCACATGGATGTCTCTTATTGCACTTGCCTCCATGCGGAATGACAGGTACCTCATCACTAGGAGGTGACGTACACTCTAGCGCTTCACCATTCTTCGTAGCTGGAGATTCGAATGACCCGAAATGACATGCATAACTCTGGCCTGTCCCTAGATCAGGTAACTGCTGCACAGTCAGGGTGATCTAAAAGTGAAAGTATAAATACTAATTTTTATTTCATTCCTATTCAAAGAACTGCAAGAATATTGATCCAGTGGCCATGGATACTATAGACAGAGTTGAAATAAAATTTGGTGATGAAACACTGAGAATGTGCGACTGGTATTAGTAACCTTCTGTATCCTTCCGACGCTTAACAATATATTTTCTGAGAGAGTCATAAAATTCAAAACATATTAACATAATGAAAAAGGTATATGAATATATAGTCAATAACAAATGTGCATTTTAAAGTTGAAGTGTATTTTCTGAAACAGTTTTCATTTTTTCTCTAAGGATGCAAATAAGATGTAATTTAAATACATTTGTTTCTCACCTGTTGCTCAGTGACTGTAATTGGCAGGTTATCATAGGGAGCTACATCAGTAATATCAATGCACTGAGCAGCATTGTAGGCCAACCATCGAGTAGAGACATCAGCTGATGGACAGTCTGAATATGTCGTACATCTGGAAAGAATTCAATGTTGTTATTATCATCATCAGTGTAGTTTCCAAAATTACCTTTTATGTGAATTTTGATCTTTGCCTTTTAATTTGTTTACATTTATGTTACATTGTATAATTATTAACTACTTATTTGCATGCAACCTTATAGGCCAGAAATAGTGATTTGCATATGAAGCGTGCTGTTGCAAAGGATTATGGGGCAAGTTTACCCGATGTGGAATCGACACCCTAGCGATATTGATTGAAACATGTACACCGTTTGAAACAGTCTTTTGCCTAACGGTCAAACGACCTAACGATTACGATTTTACCATATTTGAAGAGGTGGTGAAAATTTGCTGTGAATCTGTGACTGTGGACAGTGATTCCGTTGGAGACTGAATCGTGAATGGAATGAACCGATTGCAAGCCATATGCCAAACTGCGTTTAATGACTATAAAAACTGTGAGTTAAACTTTACCAGATCTTTTGAGTAGGACGACTAAAAGTTGACCTTGGGCTTGAATTGTTGTGAACAATGAACATTACAATCAGGATAGCTAAGTAGAAACTTTCTTATGAGAAACATATCGGTCTGTCATCTCTGAATGAGATGAATCGAGCACATGCGAAGCTCATTTTCATACAATACGTTTCCAAACATCCATTATGATTATATAACGCCAATAGTGTACTCTGTAACGTTACAATGAATACAGCGAAGCCCGATATTGGGTGTGACTGGACTTACCTTCGTTCCAGAGTGCACCATCCACAATATGGGTCTCCATCATTCCCTGCATCAGTCCCAATACACGTTTCGCACGTAGTGTATTGGCTACAATTCTCCACGTGCATCTTCACCAACTATATAGAGTAAAACATATTGTACTTTTAAATCTAAATTTTGACCGAAAGTGTTTGATTTCAGCAGAAAGGGTGCTATCTTTTCCTTCAAACCTTATGAAAATGGAATGACTTGATATCTAATTGCAATGAACAACACACATGCCGGTCAAATTTATATCTTCAGTTGCAAACAGCTGACCTCTCTATCTATACACTGCTAGGATACATTATCTTGTGTTAACCAGTCAACTTCCGACTTCTTTTCGTTTGAGAGAAAGCCTCCAAGCCAACCTCTTTGTGTGTTTTTTTTTTAAAGGTAGAGCACAGAAGCCGCATAAAAAGTACTTCTGCAGTAATTATATTCGTTTCAACTTATAATAGGAGTTAACTGTGTGTGGCAGGTTAGAAAATGCGACTAAACAGAAATGTTACCTTTTGTTCCGTCAACAGAAATAGCACGCGAGTCGTGTCATTCACCTTGATATCCTGCAGAACTGGACTGGTATCTACGCCGATGCGTTCATACAGTCGACCGTTAGTGTTACTTTCAATGTGAACCTAATGAACAGATGACACATTAAACCTCTTTTTTTCATTAGAAAGACGAGCAACCGATTTTCCATCAACCATGCACTGCTTGCATTGACTTTTTTCAAGAACTGTCGTTCCCGTACGCCATTTTTGTACAAAAGAAGACATAAACCTAAATCCACGAAATCAATACGTTTAGAGATTCGCGATGTATGAATTATGGTACTAACCTTATAATCGAGTACTTTTTAAATGTCCATACCCAGTGTTCATTGAAATAATATTTGTTTTCTCCTCAATGATTTAAATTTGATGTTTTGTTTTAACGACAAAAACACTACTTCTCTCCCCAATAAGATTAATATATGTGTCTAGGGGTTTCATTTTGCGCATAAAAAAAGAGCTTTTGTCTGGCAGCCAATAATAATCGAAGTTTGTGAAGCATTATACAGTATTAAATCGCTTTGTTGTTTTGTTTTGTTGTATTTGAAACTCGAAAATGGCACGAAACACATCTTTAAGTTTAAGTGGCAGTGGCGCACCCAAGGGGGGATTGGGAGGCTTGAGCCCGCCCAAAGAGTTTGTCATTTTTTGGGGGTTGATAATTATTGTTGACCTTGGTGATAATGTGGCCTATTTTCGGGTAGTATTAATAGGGGTGTAAGTGGCGCCACAAACATCAAAATAGTCCCCCCCCCCCCCCCCCCCGATTAAAAAACTCCCATTTTTTTCTGCGGCCAAAAAGTTTGGGCAATTTTTTTTTGCATTTTTGTTTAGCCCCCCCCCCCACCAAATTGTGGGTGCGCTTTTAAGTGGTGTAAAAACCTTCAAATTAAAATTGCTGTGGTCAAGTCGAGCTTAGGCTCTATGACGACTTCAGTCATACATTTAAATCGATTAGGTATCAATTACCTTGAGTAGATCTCCTGTCGATGTTCCGATTAAAGCGATGGTGTGGTTGACTTCTATAGTGGTTATGATTGATGACATGAGAGTACCAGGCAGCTCTAGAATTGCCGTGGATGGAACGGGGTCTATGCCCTTGGCGTACTTGAATACTGGCGTTTGAGCAGCATCATTGGTCATGGGTATGCAGAAATAGCGATCCAGAATGGGAATCTATAACGAAAGTAGAAAGAAAAAAAAATAAACAGATGTCTACTCGAAGGGGCTAATTTGCAATTATCCACGAAACACTAATCCTGGAAGTTCAAGAGAGCCGTTGATGAAACGAGAGTGGGTATTTTAGTGTTTTTTTTTAGGGGGGGGGGTTAAATCAATTGTTACATAGTTGTGGGCAGATTACCTCGTCGTTTGCAAAGCTTCGTTAACAAGTTAATTGCTATTCAACAAAAGGAAAGCTTCACCAATTTATACCCAACCTATACTAAATCGATAATTTGTTTTAAATATTACATTTAAGGGCCTGTACTATTTTGCAGTTTCTCGTCTTTGCTGTTCTATATGGAACACAAATATTTATTTTGTGAAATAGCAGCATATTTTGCACGTAGTGCTTACAATGACTAGGATGACTCTGGACGATTTTATTTTAGGTAAGGCAACTGTTGCATGCAAACCAGTTGTGTTGAGTTGGGTTGGAAACCGTTGGGTTGGATTTACGCCAAAAAAGTGCAGATAATCCGCCTTTTGATTTGTAGTACGTGCGATTTCTATATGCACACCTTATGCTCTCCAAAAAGTGGATTTTGTTCAATTTGTATATGTTTAAGAATTCCATTTTGGGCACAAATAGCCCTCTCTGCCAGAGCCGAATTGTTGTCTGGCAGCCAATATTCGAAATTTATAAAGAAATAATTAAATAGATAAACGTCGGTGGATTTTTGCGTTAAATGTCTCATTTAAAAGTGAATTCATTATATATAGCCAAGATAACATAATTGAAACCCGACAACAGCACGAGAAATGCCAACATCTTTCTTAATATTCGTCTGTACTCACCACGAATGGTCTGCAAAAAGAACCCTCCAAATAGTTAATCTTGTTTGGCCCACGGCCACCATAATTGTCCCCATCCTGAATACATCCCCGCACTGCTTCTCTGAAGGCATCCAAGATATCCGTCATCCTGTACACACACAATGCTGAGTGATTAGTGGGTACATCACTGGTACCCGGAGCTCCTTGGTTCTTGGCAAACACAGCATACAGCACCTGCTCGTCTGCATGGAGACCCAATGATGCCGCTAGATCAGGTCCTGCTGGTCCAAAGTGAGCTGCTTGCACCAAGCTGTACACACTGCCATCGGATCCACTGCACTGTAGGGTAATTTCTGTATAAGCGTCTAGGTTTGGACCGACCTGACATACTCTGTTGATCTTTGAAACAAAGTGCGCAGAATTCAAATCCTCCTTCTGGGAGGCAACGAAATATGTGAATTCATAATGTTCAAAAGGCATAACATACTTTATGGTATGAAAGTCCACAATTGCCTCGTATTTGTAAGAGACCGTATCCTCCAAGTATGATACTGATAAGAAGGGATTGCTGTCAAGGCGTCTTCTTGTAATTGCTGGAAAGTTTCCGTGACCTCCAATATTTTCCCAGGTAAACGTAACAGCCACATAGAGCAGTTGTTGTCCATCTCTTCCTGGAGCAATCAAACTAACAGTAGATGCATCCTCAAACCCGGCAACGTAGGGAACTGACCGCAGTAACACGTTACTGATATCCTGTAACTGTCGTAACTGACAAATACCTTCATACACACCACCACAGGTTATCAAACTGTTTGGCCGGGTACTATCAACTACCAGTATCTTGTTGTAGTTATTTGTAAGGGGGCAGGGCATCACATCTGGCCTGCTGGCATCACAGGTTGTAATATTCTGCATCTCTTTCAAACTACTGTCCAACCTGTACAACCAATTGACAGCTCCAACGTACACATCGCCATGGTCACTCAAGGTAAAATGATTGAACTTTGATGCGCGTATTTGGGGTTCATCCAAAATATCAGGATTGTCAAAGCTGGCCAACTCATAGTCTGACAGGTCTCCATGCCACTCAGCTGATGTGGTTAACAAATGTACGCAGATGATGCTCCAAGACAGAATAACTATCCACAAGATGGGGTTGTGGCTCCTGTGAGACTCCATGATCCTCCGAAGTTTCAGATGGCTGTGGATCATAGGGCAAAGCTTAAAGTCACAGTCTGTACAGAGAAAAAACAGTAAAAAAAAACATTATAATAGCGTATTGGAAACAGTTCAATGAAAGGAATATTCTCCTCATTTCAAAAGGATTTAACAGAAAAAAACTCTTTTAACTGTTTGTTTGGCAAATTAGTTTCAGGTTATGGAACTAGGAAATTAGAACCAGATGCAGCGATCGGATCTTCCATTCATTGGAACCCATTTCTATTACATAACGAAATCTTATTTTAAGGAAAGAAGTCGTCCCATTATTTAGAAAAATACCTAAAACATGAGTAGATTAAATAATTGTCAGTAATGATATATATGAAATCCAGGTAATTTTAAAGCATTTTGCTGTTTCAGTTATAAGTTTTTTTGTGAGCTCCTGTTTTTTGAAAATGCAAAACTAAGAGGTAAACTGGCGATTTCACTGCTCGTATCTTTTTGCAATCAAATTATCCATTTCCGTCAATATCCTGACAGGAAAAAAAACCTGGTAGGAACCTCAAAGGCAGTTGGCTGTTGCTCGTTTTAATATTAAAATCAATGAAGTGGAAGCAGCTGCACGATGCCACGCTCAGTTTTTCGGAAACCCAGTTTTATATACCGCACATGCCTTACCAAACACTAACTACAATATTATTGGCGGAGAACAATCAAAATAGTGTATAGAAGTACCTTTCACATAGATTTAGTTCGTAAGAATGGATGTTTTGCTTCTTTTCGAGAATTAAATAGCTTGTTAGAACATAATCTAAGAAATATCTTCATTGTGTCTATCATATAAAATGCTAAACATAAAAACTATATTGCATGCTAGCAACATATTATACGTGACAAGTAAGGAGAACTATTCCAAAGCATTTGGAAAATCAAGTCTAAAAACTAAACGAAACAATATCTTGAAGGCTTGAGATTACAAATATCTTTACATCCAAAAATTCAACAGTAAAAACCTTCTTTTTGATGTCACATACACAGAAAATCTTAAATTTAAGCTTTGTTGACCGTTTCGTCGACTGAAAGCAGGTTCGTACCAATTCATATTTTACCGCTGGCCCTCTTAAGTGCCAAACGTTGTAGAATTTCAAAATTAGTTTACGCCCTTAACGTCCGCGTTCATTCGTCCTCAAATTATAATTTGTATTCTACTATTGTGAAAATTTTGTTGTAGAACGTTCAGGCGGTCACACGCGTACGAACTGATTCTCCTCAACAAAGCAATCTCTCTGTTTAGTCTAAAGAGCGCCTGATCAATAGGTGAGTGACCATGATCGTGGGGTAGATACTCCAATGAAGGATCTTCATAATTATGTTTGCTAAATCAACCACTCAGCACGTCGATAACAGTCACAACTGCATGAACACATACGTAGAGCAGCAACAATCTGATGTCGATGAGGAACACAATGTAGATTTTTTACAAAATGGAAAATAGAAAGGTTTCTTCATGGAACAACGAACAGCACTTGTTAAGTTACCGTAGCTGAGTTTATAAACCTGGTAAAATTTTGGTGGTTTCATTTCCGGGTGTTGAAACTCTAGGTCTGTTTACCAGTTCCCTGAACAGTTGGTAATGAATGGCTCAATTAAAGGTGTCTCTCAGTGTGAGTTGTTGCTGTGGCGAACAATATTATATTAAAATACTGGAACCTCTCTTTCTTGAGACTGGCAGAAAATAATGTAGTTGTTACGAAAAAAAAAATCCAATTCACAGTGAATGTTTCCCTATAGTGCTGATTATTATTTCCATGAAATGTCAGTGTTGCCTTGATAACTTTGTATTATATCAATTTATTAATTTAACTGATCTCAGTCGGATTTGGATTGACTTTGAATAATAATTAAATTCGTACACCTTAATTTCTATGAATTGACATCATTGTTTCCCCGCCTTGTTACTTGCTGGTTGTTCCTTACATATCCCTTTTGTTTTGGCCAATTGTTTATTCTTCCCCATTTAATTTGCATTTGCTGCCGTGAATGACATACTGAACTTTTAGTTTGGTGTGTCCACACGTAACAATCTACATCTACGATGGTTCTCATCAAAGCCTGTTTGGCATCCAGACCAAGGGCGGATCCAGAACACAATTTTTTTGAGGGGCCAAAAAAAAGTGGTTCCCCCAAAAAGTGGGTCAAAAAAATTACGGCGTGGGGTTCGGGGCCCGCTTAAGGGCCCCGAACATTTTTTGAATTCTAGATGCTCTGTGGTGCGATCTGAGGTAATTTCCAACCACTTTAACCAATGTTTTTTTTGAGGAAAAGATGGTGGTGTACTCATTGCCTGCCTTAATTGCGATATCACATTAAAAAAAAAAAAAAATGGTTTCGTTTTGGGTGGGGCCATGGCCCCCTTTGGGCCCCCCCCCCCTGGATCCGCCCTTGATCCAGACGAGGGACTGGTGTGTGGTGCTTCCAACAGTGCACGCTAATAATTATGTGCTTTGGTTGTACTTTCTTACAAGTGTAATTTGGATTGGTGCCAGTAAAAAAGACATTAACATTGCTAATTGATGGCCACTTGAACTGCTCCACAGTGGGCAGCTCAATGGTTTTCTGAAGTGCATCCCAGTCTCTGACTACAGTTAGGCTATATCAACATGATATCTTCGAATTCTCAATAATTGATATTTAGGGATTTCATTTTCTGAAATGGGGTCCATATATATCTACTTAATCGCCGCTTTTTGTTAGGTGTTTCAATGACCAACGATCAATATTTCTATTATCCATAACCATTGCGCTCGTCTGGCAGGTCATGTCGTACACAATATTGCTCCTACATGTATGCACGCACATGGGGTGCACAAGCCGCGCCAGGCTGGCCAGGCAGCGCAGAAGTGATTTCGGCTTTAGGGGTGAACGCGCGTCGTAGAAAATGCCGGGGAGGGGGGCACCAATACAATTTTTTGGGTGGGGGAGGAATCACGAAATCCTGCTTCTGCATATGGAATTTTGGTGTTTTTCCCCCCAGAAAATCCCTGTAAATGCAGATAAATCTAACCATTCCATCGTTCACGTTGTGAATATAAATGGTACATTTTGACAAAGTTGAGAATGGAGCATTATCCCAAGATGAGAAATAACCATGTTCAACCACAATAGATAACACATAATAACGTTATTCTTTGTTTACGTTTGCGTTTATGGGAGTCTGCTTGCTGGGCTCTCGTCCCCATGAACAGCCATTCGTCCCCATGAACAGCCATTCGTCCCCATGCACCTACTAGGCTTCCCTACATAGGAAAACGCTCATGTAAACAAAGCATGAGGTCATTATGTCTGGGATCTATTAAGTGACAGTACATACGGTTATCGTGAGCTGAGAAAACTGCCTCACTTCCCCAAAAATACACAGGATGCAAATAATGGCGCACTGGCAGCTTCATGTGTGTGGTGTATTATGATTGTATTACTCTTGACACGACGCAATGGAAATTTCCATGTATTGTAGTTCGCCTGTTTACTACGCCAAAGTCCACTCAGTAAAGTTGTACTTAAAATACATTGTTGTACACATAATAAACCTTAAACTCTCCATCATATGTGTTAAGAGACAGCGGGGTGTACGAATAAAAACTACCATTTGCTTTTAGTACCAATTCCTAAGCATTTACTCGCATATCTGTATGAATACAAATGAAGCAACAACTTTTATTGAAGGAGCATTTGCTAAAAACTGAAAGTATTGACTTTATTTACTTTTTAGCATTTGCTGGACTATAAACGATTGCTTCATTTCGTATGAAAATTTGAAGAAGGCCTATTTACTGGTCAAGTTTGGTTCGGGGATACATTGAAAATAATGAAGCAAGTACTTCTGCGCAAACAATTATTGGCGCATTTATGAAATCTTACTGTAAAATTCCAACGGAAATCGCATCGAGTCCTGATGCAAGGCGAGTACTATGTTCTACATTAAATTTTCAGGTCTAATCGAATCACTACCCCCCTCTCATTTGTAGATCTTTATGTTGACTGGGTCCTTTAACTGATTGTGTTCCTTTTGAGTTTGTAAACAACTTTAGAACTTTAAGAGCAGTCTTGACATACATGTACTTTGACGCTACATGACGCTCTTTTTTTCTTATCAATAAATTAACATTTCATAAAGTCATACGGTTAAGGTAATTCAAAAATCCTCAAGATTTCTCTTTGGTTTAATAACAAAAAAAGCTTTTAAAAGACACTTCCTGGGCAAACGGAATATTCACTGGAAATATGTGGGGGACACGTGCCCCCCCCCCAAGCGCCCCCCCCCCCCCCCCCGGCAGTAAGCGCTGCTGCGGTGACTTAATTCGTAATCCAGGTTAGCATCTTTGTAAAGACTCAAAGCATTTACTGATCGACCCACTCTGGGGCCAGGGCTTAGGGTACCGCCTTGTTCCTCCCTTATATGGGCTTGGCCCTTGGGTATATGGATGGACAGGGAAGGTAGCGTGTGGGCCAGGACCGCCGAGATCCCAGAAGGGTCCTACATGGGAGTACGAGTCAGCAATGTGGTAATTGAGTTGAGTTAAATAAAGTCCGACCCCTGAATGCTTGGTCAACACCACATAACTTTTAGTTTTATTAATCACATTTTTTTCAAACACAGAAGTATTCATTCACGAAAAATAGTAATTATTTACACCTTAACGTAATTTTTTCAGGGCAGATACAAAATACAGTCTCAGTAGTATATTACAAAATGTAACAAGATTCAGTGAAACCGTCACTTTGTGGGAAAGAATTAAAACTTATATAGAGGTCAGCAAATTTGCAACAATGCGTACCTTAACATGATACTACATGTATGTAATCCCATACGATTACCTTTACTTAGACTCCATAATTATATTTCTCCAATTAAAATTAATCGATTCCGTTCCTTTTTACTTTCAGTTAGTTTGTTTTATGTTAATTTGCAAAACTATCAACTATAGTTTTGGATATTTACAATAGAAATTACCAAAGAAGATTACGATTAATGTTTTATTGAATCATCTACACGTAAAAAAAAAAATGTATAGCAAAAGTCTATGGGTTTGCACGCTATTCAGTCTATAGCTCTACAGGTTCCTTTTGGCCTTTTAATAGAAATTTCACAATAGAAATCAATAGAAACAATCAACATTTTCGTCCAAATAACATCTGCATTAAGATATCAAACTGAGTGATATAGCCTACCAACATGAAGAGCACATTATACACTTTCTACTGCACATAAAAACTAAAGAATGAAAACGTGTCTTAAAGACATTATTAAAACTAATACAAATGAATAAGGAATGTACAACTAAACAATATAATACAAATGTTGCTGATATAATATGTGCCCTGTCACGTTATACCGACAGACAACCGCCGGGCAACCCAAGCATTAAGATCTTTTGCACGTTTTTTGGCCCACATTAAACAGTATCAACAATTTTACCCATTCATATTGCAAAAGATACACATGCAGTGCAGAAGAAAACTGTTCACTAAAAGTTGGCATCACGTGACGGGGAAACCTGTATTAAACGCAATTCTTGGTATTCATTCCCCCCCCCCAAAAAAAAATAAAGGCAATGGCAATATACAAGCCAGATGGCGAATGTAAAAAAGCGAGGAAGAAGGTATGCAATTTTTTTTTTTTTTTCTTTTTTTCTTTTTCTTTACAACGAATGATTGACGACGCCATTTTTAAACTATGGGTTGCAGACCATTTCCATTGTCCCCAGTGATATATGCCGCCGGTTCAGAAATTGTGGAAAAATATTCACAACTATCCAAGGTGTTCAAGACGTACATCAAATTAAAGCTTATTTCATGATCTTTCATTTTCTTTTCAAATTTTTTTGGGGGTAATCTGATTACTTTTAGAAGAAATTCCATCCGAAGATGATCACCCCTTAAAAAAGTCCTGAAGCCCATCGTCATTTAAAAAAACGGCATTTACCCTCCTTTGCAAAATAGAGCGCTTTTAGGGCCCAAATTTCATCCAAATTTCACAAAATCTGGTTTGAAAATGCAGTGTATTTTGCAGGCTATTATACGAAAGAATTACTTAGAATCAAAACTAATATCTCACAAGTTTTTAGAACAATTGGGAATCTGTGAGGAAAATCAGTATCTCACAAAGAGGGATTTCCCAAATACCGTCAATTTTATATCGACATTTCCATATGATTACGTACGATTGGCTTGTTTCTTTAAGTTACACACATGTCCGTTCTCTCCTTTGAGTGGGATAGTGACTTCGGAGTCCAAACACGTCTCTTGGGGTTCTCCCTTAGATCCTGCAAAATATAAAGTTTCGTGATTACTTTTTAAGCGTTTTGTAATTTGTTCAAATTAACGCATCATTAAGTTCATGGTGGGAAGTTCTGAAATATTCCGAGTTTTGGAAATTTGAAATGTGTCAATTTAGCTTGCATTAACTATTTAGCTTGCATTAACTCTTTATTTCAGAAAGGCTTGGATAGTCTCCAACGATCTGTGTATATCCCCCTTAAACCATGCAGCACCGTGAAAACTGGAATCATTCTTTCCAGGTTACGTAAGGAACACGTAAAAGCATTTTGCCTGTTATCAACTTCTCATACCTTTATTTTCCCTGACCCTCGTCTCGTTCTGCAACTATTAAGTAAAAGAGAGAATTGCAAAAGTAATTAATTGCGTTCAGTGATCCTGGGTTATACCATAGCGAGCTCCTTTATAATTCAGATAAGTTGGTGTACTGTTATATCCCCCTTAGGTTTAAAATTCTAAATTTGAAAGCAAAAAATACGTCGAGTATCTCAAACAAAACTGCTAAACGTATGCCTGCACCATGAACATATGTACTACCGTATTCTTAAACACGTGTTTACAGGCCTCGTTTTTGGTGTGTGGAACTTTGTTATCATGTCAGTTCCAACAAAAGCACTGTAAATCTTGCACAATCTTCCTTTCTAAAAAGGGTGTTGTTTAAATGATTCTTAATCAATAATTATTGTAACTTAACCGTAAATACCTCATGCAGAATGAATTTCCGACGCCTTGTGTTTGAAACCATTGCTGACTTTACAACGAGCACAGTGTTACTTATAATTTTTATCATTGCCGCAGAAGCGTGCTGGGTTATTAGGCTGTCTAGAAATACTAGAATACTCAAGTGTTTGCGTACCTCGATGTCATTCTTTTGTCTAGGTTTCCTCATCGATATCTGAAACGACAATGACAATATACCACAGAATGTAATATGTCACCGTAAACAATATGACGTACAAAACAACTTAGCTCTCTTAATGTTTTTGAATTCCTTGGTCTGCTTTTTTATTTTTATACTGTCTTGATTTTTGTTTAACTATACGTAACCATACCTAATCAGCGGCCATCATTAACAAGACAGAGAGAGAAGATCCGGAGCATCATTCCTGTATCATGCCTCGACACCTTGTTAAATGCGCAAACTCAACCATGCTGGTTTGAAACCCAAGCTGTACTTATAGCAATTCAGAAAAACGTTTAGTAAATGTATCCTACTTCTGTGCATATTAAGACAACATTTGTGCACGGATATGGATATTGGCTACAAACAATGTATTTCGTAATTGATTAATTGCGAGTGTCCACAAAATTTAAAATAAAAGTTCTTCTGTGATTGGGCGCATGCCCCCAATTTACCTTGCAGACAGCAATAACCAAACCAACGACGACAGCCAATGACAGGCACAAAGCAACTGTGAGCCCAATCACGGCATTTTGAGAGCTATCTGGAGTGTCTTTTACTGTAGAATTAAAGCCCAACTCAGCCATCACCGGTACAGCTGTGGTAGGTTGAATTGAATTAAAATCTGGAAATAATTTTTGGAAATTCGTTAAAATAATTATTATGAATCGATTCGTTTGATGACAGACATTGTAAGTGTGCGATTCAGCCGTTATATGGAATGACTTACTGTCAATTAGCATAATGTTAAGGCAAATATGATAGTTGTAGTGCAACCTCTTTTGACAATTATAGTATTATTATTGCTTGTTCATTGCTCTTGTACTTATTAAGCAAAGGTAACCATGTCAAACTAAATAATGTTGACATCGAATGTGTACAATAATAATGGACGAAAGATCCAACAACCACAAAAACTATCATCAAAGTATGAATAAAAAAACATTGTTTGTAGGGTACCCAGTGCTACCCTACAAAGCAATCAATATCCAGGCTCACGTGGTGTTTGGAGGGTGTAGAAGGCTGTCACCGTCACGTGGCTACCATTCCTGGCGCCCAGAGCGTCCCCGTATGCTTGACATCTGTACATCGTGTCCACATAGCTCGCTATAACTGGGATTGATGCTGAAGTGGTGAAGGTGTTCACCGAATACGCACCTAAACACACACCGCAAAGACCAAAGCTGTTATCATTTCTCTTGCTGAAATCGGAATTAAGCCAAGAACATGCACTCGCTAAGCATGATGGATATGAATTACGTAGGCTCCAAAAATACTTTCTTGTTAGAGCATGTGACAAGCCAAAAGTGTCGTATGGTCCTTTTGGCTGGATTTACCTGTTGAAATAGGAAGAATCCTTCTTCCCTTAATCAGTTCCATGAAAAGTATGCCAAATGAAAAGAGATCTTTAAGCCTGGGACATAATAAGAAATTACCTCACCTCATGCAAAGATGCTTCAATTCACAAACATGTATGCTGCCAGAATTCATAGCTGACTTATGTTAATTCCCATCTAATGGGGGAGTGGGGCACCTGAGATTCAGTCACACCCTGTACTTACTCGGTTTTACGGTGAACCTGTCGCTGATGAGTTGTGTGTCGCCGTCACTATACTCAAGCAGCCACCGGAGAGCCACGGCAGGCTTGGTATCCCGTACGATGCAGGTCAGCCTTGGTTTCTTGATGTCGCTCGGCAACTCTGCCTCGCACGCACTCTCGGAGATACGTTCAGTGCATTGAGTTACGTCGGGAAACGGCTCTTTGGGAGATACTCCACAACATAACGAATATTTTTTTTGTAAAAATCCTTCGAATAAATTCAGATAAAATGTTCAGACTTCCTGATTTTTTTAAAGATAAATCTTTACTTTTTTGATGTGTTTTGGGTGCAAAACACTTAGTACAGGAAAGGGGACAATAACAATTAACAGTTTACTAGAGCCGTCAGATCATTATTGCAACAATCGATCACTATTACTTGAATTGAAATAAAGTGAATGGAAATCCCGAGCCGAGCACAGCTTTTTCAGGATATTTGTCTAACGTTGGCTTCTTAACCCGTCTGTATGCTAAAAAAAATATTGTCATTTCCTTTAAACGTTTCCACCCTTCAGAAAATTGGTTTAAAACTGAGTTGGACAAAATATTGCTTCTCCTCAACGTATGAATACAATATTGTCTACTAATCGCTAACCTTCTCACCTCTGACACGCTTAGTCACGTGCCCATCAACCATAACTTCTAACTTCGGTTTGATCCTACAGAAGTAGGTCCCTTCATCTGAGTCAGTGACGTTCTCAATAACCAGAGAGAAGTTGCCGTTAATGTTATAAACGCCCTCTGGGATGCCGTTTTGTGGAGCAATATTCCCTAGGAAGTAGGAGATCAAGATGTCTTCGTCTCGTACTCGGGGGAAGTACCAGTACATGACTTCGATCTGATCCAGCGGGATTCGTCCGGATGCGACGAGAGGGCAGGACAGGATGCCAGGGTGGCCTCGCTCCAGGAAGATGGTTCCATCATCGTTACTTCTTGCTTGGATGCGAATAACCATCACAGAAATGACTACAACAGGGAAAGAGTACCAATGGATCTTATTAGAAACTATAAGTTATCAAATTCTAGAGAATCATGATGTTGGAAAATTAACGGAACTCATGTTAAATGCAAAGATTTTACTTGTATATTACATGTATATTTAAATATAGTTGTTTTGCAACACAACTCGTATAGGGCAGTTTTTCAAAACGTAATTTCACCCCATAAGACGCCCATTTGACTGAAAGGGTTAGAAAAGGGAAGTTTAATTGTACGGAGGCAGTCCCTGATTGGTACATGTTTGTAACACATTTTTAATGCAGTTTAGTTTTGCACTTAGGCCTAAGCGATTGAACAGCTGCATATAGTTTTAAGGTTCAGACAAATGAACCCTTTGACGGGTTTTAAGTACCATTTGTGCACATATTTTTTTGTATCCTGGTGCTTAAAAGAAATTGTAGTATAATATGAAAAACTAATAAAACTTTTCTATAGGCCCAATTTGCGGCTAGCGGAGAGGTTTTTTTTTGGGGGGGGGCTGAGTCGTAATGTCTATCTCTAGCTCTGTCCAGTTGCGTGACTTATAAGGGGGCGGATCAAGTCCTCTCCCCTCCCTCACCCTATTAAAATACACTTTTTATAGCAAATTGCAAATTTGATCCAACGTCATTGTATCGGTTGTAGACCTAATGCATTGAGTTTAAGTTGGAGGACAACGGTTTTGTATCGCTTGCATAGGCATGAGTAATTTGTTTGTGCGTTTATTGTAACAACGCTAGGATAACAAAGAACACCGGCCCTCTAGGATACCTGCAACCAAAGAGTGTATTGCATCCACTCCGCTGCTTTGAGTCAAAGTTACTCTTGACGATACGTTCTCTCCACAACAATGTTCATACCGCTCAATAAAGGAATTGACATACAAACCACTCTTAAGTCTCAATAATCCTTTTGTACGCCTGCATACACAAAAAAATACCCGATTTGTTTAAAAAATGCGATTCAAATTTCGAGTGCAAAACAAAACTTGAGAATGCACACATTTGCGAATATAGCAAAAAATCTAGCAGAATGAATATTTTAGCGGAATTCTGCAAAATTGGTGGTCCTGGCAGAAAAAAATATATAGCAGATTTTTTTTGAAATAGCTTCAATCACTTCAAACCAACACTTGGACAGCGACTAGGCAGGCCAGACTAAAAACGTTGAGGTTCCCTGATGTGTACGACTACGCAGTAAAGCACTATAGACATTGGAAGCCAGGCTAGATACGCGTTTTTTGTTTTTATTAAATTGTTATTTTATTCAATTTTTTTAAAGGGCATTTTGTGATTTTTTTAAAAGCAAATTTTATAAGATGATGCATGTGAAAAAAACTAAATCTAGCATAATTTTGAAATGCCTCTGGCAGAATTTCACGATTTTCATCTAATCACTCGGTATCCAATTTCTATCCCACAATTCATTGCGCGCCCAAGACTTGGAAGTGGCTGAAGAGTGGCAAATTAAGAGACACATTTCCCCAAAAGAGCCATTGAATGTCCTTATTTTTGGTGATAAGTGCATATCATTTTGTTTGCGCGCTCCTTTTCAACACACCACACAACCGCTCGAAACATCCCCATTGGAACGATCTATGGAATCTGCTGGGTAGTTTCAGTTTTTATGTCATTAGGGCTTCTAACAAACGCGGTAAAAGTTTTCGTCCTTAATCGAGTATTATGAAGAATATATAATATGCTTTCGATTAATGTGAATTTTATTAGAAAAAAAAGTCGATTACATTCCGTCATTTTGATAAACTTCACGACTCTCTCCTGATTTTGTTAAAGTTTGTGTGTAAAATTGTTGTTGTTTTTCGCTTAGTTTGTAATACTGACCATCTTCAAATCGCCAAATTTACGCTAGCGCCCTCCTTTGACTTTCTTAATCACACATCACCGTCCAAAACGAGACAAAGAATTTCCATCCAATAAAGGAAGCTCTTTGGGATGCAGTGCACTAATTCAAGTGAGAATTTCTACGCGAGGTCATTAGCATAAAAAAGTGCCCCATCAACTTGTTTTGAAAACGGAGACCGTTTGGCTTTCAAAAAGGTGGAATTGTGTAAATGTAGCCAAGGATCAACTCCCTGGTTGTTGGGCTTCTGTCTGAGGGCAGGCTTGATAAAAGAACGGTTGAAAGATGCGGGTTCTATTTGAGAAAGTGGAAGGATGCCACTCGTAAAATGGCTGCATGCAGCCTTGGCAACTACCAATTTTTGGGAGGTGATTTTATTTTGGTGCGAATCTTTAAAAATACAATCGGCTAGTTTACCCAAAATTGAAAAGAAATGAAAAGATGAAGGACCAGACAATAATTTGTGGGATTTGGGGATTGAAATGGATTCTCACTTAAAAACTGTCGTGCGGGGGAATCCATTGAAGACATGAGTCTGCTAATCAAAACCTTCAATGACTCTGAAACATTTACTCCCCACCCTTAGAGATATTTGCTTTTCAAGACAACCACGCCCACCCCAAAAAAGGGAGTAATTATCCAAATAATAAACACAACTCACAGAAAACAAGCAAACAAAATAAAAATGCTCTCCTGCGCTCACCCAACTACCGATACACCCATACCCGCGTACATTTTGCAAAAATAAAACTTCTTTAAATGAAAGACATTGCAGATTCTGTAGGCCTATGTGTGCTGGTTTAAAACTGTACAAAATGCTATAGACTGCAGGCCTTCGACATTTAATCCCATAAACGGCCAGTGGATCAATTTGTTTCCATTTTTTCTTACAATTAATTGAGGTCTTTGATTCATTCTTGAATTTTTTTAGTATGCATTTTGTGTCAGGTAATTAAACATCGATATCTTTATAGGGTGCAGTGCACTAATTCAAGTGAGAATTTCTACGCCAGGTCATTAGCATATAAAGTTCCCCCACAACTTCTTTTGAAAACGGAGACTGTTTGGCTTTAAAGTCGGTGGAATGGTGTGAATATAGTATAAACTCCCTGGTTTTGAGGCTTCCATCTGAGGGCAGGCTTGATAAAAAGATACGGGTTAAAAGATGGGTTCTATTTGCCTAAAAAAGTGGAAGGATGCCACTTGCAAAATGGCTACATGCAGCCTTGGGAACTACCCAAAATTGAAAAGAAATGAAAAGGTGAGAAAAACCAGTGATGTCGACTTGCATGTTATTTGGCCAAGAACTTTGTTGATTTAACACTGTTTTCAATGGGGCTTGAATTAGTTCAACGAACCCTGTCCTATGAGCCATGGGCAACCAGTACGCAATGACTCACTGGACCAATCTGCTGCGTACGTACATACACACATACAATCATTAACTGCAGGGGACGTTCCATTTTTAGTAGGGTGCAATGTTGCTGTTTGAAAAACGTGACAATACAAGTGTTTTTGCTGCTGTTATATAACACTGTTACATAAGCAGTATTTTCACTGATAACTCAGGCCTGATTTCCAAAAATAGACGTCTTTAAATTCTAAGTGTGGGTGGATTGATCAAACAAGCATGAAAATAATAATGTTGGCCCCACACAGCTGCATACTTGCTGGACGAAGCTACCCCTATTTACCAAAGTGGTACAGCACGTTCTGAATGCACTGGTCTTCGGAAATTGTGTGTACACAATGATCGAAGCTAGTGCAGTGCACTGGAGTGTTCAAAGTAGCGTTTTACTGTGCGAAGGAATTGATATGATATGCTTGGGTAATAAAAATCCCGGTACAAACCGTTATTTCGTTTTACCGTTTTGGATTTCCTCAAAAGCAAAAAAAGTAAACGAACCATTGACTGTTCTGTCGTTTTACAGTTTTGTAACTTTTTCAGTCAACTTCAAGGAAAAATCCACATTTCAGGCATCAGGCCAGGGCAAGGTTAAGATTTAAGATTTATAGTTATGTGCATGACAGCTTAAACTCAGAGGGTAAGGACAATTCAGATTTAATGTTCTGTCAACTTTGAACATGACCTTCCTACTGGTCACGTTCAGGGAACAGAGTATAGTTTCATTGTTTTACAGCTCTGGTGTACTTACTTAGTAGCTCCCCTAGAGAAAAAGAAATACATTTTAGTTCCAGTCTAGATGCCCCCCCTCCCTTTCTTGGTAGTGCCTAGTGTGCCCCCCTGTTTGTTTATTTCAGCCCATTAACACGTTCCCCCATACAATCTGCCACAGTTAAGCCTCATACAGCCAGCAGCTAGACCACTTAGCAGAGACAAGTTCACATTTACTATATGTTGAATGTTTCTCCCGACCTGGAGAGTGTTTTCCTGCTTGGATTTGTCTGCTTGTCGAGGCATTATGTGAGTTTTGTCATGGAATTGTTTTGTTTTATTTTATGTTATACATGTAGGCCTATATTCAGTTTGTTTCAGTGTATTATTAAGTTTTGAAAAGTTTGTTTTGTTTTAGTATATTGTTCAGGGGTCTTACATGTTTTTAGTAAGTATATGAGCAGTCTTGTTGTGATTTGAACGATTTTGATTGAATTTACGATGGATCATGATCGTTGCAGTTTGGGTATTTTTGAGGAAAATTGTGTTGCCACAAAAGCCCACAAGGTTGAATTATTGACTTGTTTTCTTGGTAGTCGGAATGACTGAGTTTTGATGAAATTATTGCCTGTTTAATTATTAGGTTTGATTATTTTTATTTTATAGTTCTGTGGTTTTATTTTGAAATCTGGTTTTAAGTGGAGATATAAATTTGTACCCTTGGTTGGTAGTTGAATGGATGTGTTTCTCCATTACCAATTTGTTCATTTTATACATTTTTTAAGCCAATTAAGAGGTGTGGTTTTCCCACATATTATTTCATTGTTTAAATTACTTAGACCTTATAAAGCTTGACTTCATTTTCATTTGTTTACTGTTTTTTATGGTATTCTTTTTTACTTCTCTTTCTTGTTACATAGTTTCGTCAGTGTGTTCTGAGATCCATTAATGCCCACTGTGTTAGTTTTAAGTTGTTGATTATTTACTTGGGTTTTAGGTTTCAGTCTATAGTTTGGTTTTCGTGGTTTTGGTTACATAATTGTTTGGTCATTTTGGGTTTTTTTCTTGAAAATAAATTATTTTGGTCTTTTCA